AAGGAAGGTATATCTGTGTGTTGTCTGCGTAGCAGTGAAAGGAGACTTTGTGGCGTTCAATTATTTGGCCAAAAGGCAGCATATAAATGGAGAATAAAATGGGACCTAAAACCGAACCTTGCGGTACACCACAGGTAATGTTAGAGGTAGAGGACGAGTAGTTACCGATGGTGACCGCAAAGGTTCTTTCTAAAAGATAAGAGTAAAAACAAGTGCAGTATCCTTTAAACCCATTTTTTGAGACAATCAATTAAAATTGTGTGATCAACAGTATCAAAAGCTGCGCTAAGATCTAAAATAATTAAAATTGTGCCCTCCCCTCTATCTGCTGCTCACAGAAGGTCATTGGTTACCTTGAGGAGGGTCGTCTCTGTGCTGTGACAAGCTCTAAAACGGGTTTGGAATTTCTCAAAGAGGTTATTTTCAGTCATAAAAGATAAAAGTTGTGTTGAAACCACCTTTTCTAAAACTTTTGATAAAAATGGAAGTTTTGAGATTGGTCTAAAATTGTTAAAATCAGTGGTCAGTGGTTGGACCACAGCATGTTTAAAAGCAGAGGGGACTACACCTTCCACCAAGGAACTATTAATAATGGATAAAATACTGGGTCCAACTGTGTGAAAAACCTCTTTGAGAAACGTTGTGGGAATAAAATCAAGGCTGCACGTGGCTGATTTCATGTGGGTTAAAATTTCAGATAAAAAGGTCAAGGACACCGGTTCAAAACTGCTAAAATAACTATATATAATAAGCCCGAGGGAGTTTGAATTCAATCCTTTTTTTGAAAGGCATTACTTGATGCATTTACTGTAGTTAGGATGTGATCTGCTATATTATTATGTTTAAATGTTGCATATTGCACCTTTAATATTGATAGCCACTCTACCTTAATGCTTATTTTGATGCTGCAGCTGCTTAAACAGGCATGCATTGAAGACAGATAATCCTGTAAATACAGGTGAATAAATGATAGACCAAACAATAATATGTGTGCAAATCCCAATAGTAGTATAAAGCTCTCAGATATGCAGAGATGAATGAAACATTTGTCTTGAATGTTGAAGTTGTTTATCTGTTCTCCTGTTTTCTTTGCAGGAACTCAGAGTCAGCTAAACCTGGAACGTTCTAAGAGCCGAATGGGAACCTTTGTGGAGGGTGGCCCGATGGCTGAGACCAATGCAGAGGAGGGGTATGAGACCAAAATTTTATTCTGTGAATTATGCTCTTTATAATATCTTTAAAAAATATTATAAAATCTTTGGAATAAACCAAAAAGTCAGAGGCTGAATGATGATAGGTTTTTCCCCATTAGGACACCCCCTCACCATAAAGATCACAGTTTTTTTTCTAAGTTGAGGTGCTATTTATTCTCTAAATTTTAGAATACTTAATATTAAGAGGAAAACATAGTCGATCATCATCTATGACTGGCAAAGGAGTCCGGCCATTCCTCCCAATCAGCCCCCGCCTGTTGCTCCATCATTGCCCACGTGGACGTTGAAGTCCAACAGTTCAGCTAAAGACTGCTCAGGAGGAACCCCTTCCAGGACCTCACCCAGAGACTACAAGAAGGCTGTTTACTCCGAACTGCTGTTAGTTGCAAATACACCCACAACAGTAAGCGGCGCTCAACCGGGGGCATGTGAGTGTCCCGACACCTGCCCGACGCCTCTCAGCCTGGGCAAGTTCAGAATAGGAGAGAATCCCGCCCCTTTCCAGGTGTTTGGTTACAAACTGGCTCCTTCCCCGCCATTGAGGTTCTACTCCATGTCCCAAGACACTCACCTTCAACACCCCCCTCACAACCCCCCACCCCCCACCCCCACCCGTTTCTCTCAGTGATAGAAAAGAATAATTTGTTTGTTCACTATGTTAACCATTAACTTCCACTGCCCCTGAAGAGTTTTAAGCAATGCCTCTAAGTGTACCAGGAGCACAGTTAGATGTAGTGTGATAGGAAAATTATCTTTTTTTCTTTAAATAATGCCAGTGACCAAGTAGTTCTAATTTCAGGGAGATATACATTATAGTGCTAATAAGAGTTTCTGGAAGGTTTCAAAAGTGACAAACAATGAAGTCTATTCTATACTATTTTGTTTTAATTAAATCTATGTCAGATAGACACAAGTAATGCAGGAATTTATTTAAATATATCATAGATTCTATTATAGATTCACAGATTAATTAACTCTAACTACAAAGATGTTAAGCAACACATTTTCTGGTCCATAAAGCTTTGTGTTAAACTGGATTTCCTTCATTAAGTGGACCAATCAGTTTTACTTCCTATAGACCTAATCTTCAGTGCAGCAATGCTTTCATTTCATCACTAAAGGTTATAATGCTTCTCTGCCAGACAGAAGCAGAGTTTGGTTTCAAACAGTGCAATGATTTTACCAAAAATTAGATGACATCACACTGCGTTATTTTGGGGTTTGAGGAAGTTACTGCAGGACTAACATTTGGGGATTGATCATTGAAAACACTTTCTACTCTTTATGACACCAAGAATATTTAAATATTTCTTAAAAAAGAACAAAAACTCACAATAAGAGCATTTTAACAAACCTATGATTTCTATCTTTTGAAGAAAATGCTAATTTAAAAGCCAAAGTCTGACTTCTGGTTTCTTTCATCTAAGTTTATTTAATTGCATCACACGTGTGATGTGTGTTAAAACTTTTATTCAGTTGGCGATGACTTGGGGAAATAAAGTGTCAAAAACCAGGGGAACACATGGTAAACAGAAGCCTGAAGACAAATAATTGTTTTTTTTTATCAGATAGACACAATACAAAATGAATTGGATGTGTGAGTCATGCTGTGTTGTGTTGCAGGACTTCTTCAGACATGCCTGATGTCTTATCAAGACGGAAACTAAAGCAGACACTTTCTGATCAAGACCTGCCATGATGTCATCACATGACCTGACTGATATTCTTCCAATTTTCTTCATAATATTGTTCTCATGTGTTTCAATAAATATCTCTGAACATTACATTGTGACTGTAGATGAAGAATGTCCTTATTTCCAAGCACCAAGTGAAGCAAATTAAGCCAGTAGTGCCGCTTATGTGCAGCTCATCTCATTTCTGCACAATGTTCTCAGTCGGCAATTAGGAAATCATTACGGCCATTATGTGATGAAGGGAATCATACTTGGTTCAGCTCAGGTTCCCCTGCCTGTGTTTTTCATTTGCAAAACAAGTTGGAATGCATGAGTACAGCTAGACGGACACATACCGAAAAATAGCCACATCCATGACCTGCATTGAACTGCACCCCACAGTGAAACATAATACATTGATATTCAGGACAACACAGGCAGAATAGCTATTGCATGGAAATAATGCTGGGCTCTGACAAAAAGTGTGGTGTGCTGAGAGGTAGAATAATGCTGCCAACAGGAGTCTGCAGCACCTTGATGGCAACCAGCAGTTTGATTGTCAAGCCCCAATTCACAATTTCCCTTCTCAATCATTCAAAAGTACACATCTACCACAATAGCAAAAGTCATTGTCAATTTAAATTGCTAATACATCTCAATGTAAGCAGGAAGTCATTAACAAAGAAACAGCTGTAAACAAACACATTTACTTATTTATATATACGTAATGTATTTATCCAGGAAAACCTAATTGAGATTAAGAATCTCATTTACAAGATTGTGTTGGTCAAGACAGGCATCAGCAAAATTACAACAAGTTACAGACATAAAACACAGAGCAATTACAGACACAGATCAGCATATCTTGAGTCACAGACTAGAAAATTCATTATTCAAAGCATCTACAACCTGACTCATCTTCCTCCAACACCTTCAATCTACTTTGAAAAAGATTTAAAGAGACCAGCTCCCCCAAACACAGATCACTTGGGGTACTGCAACCCAGTCACAAAAATACGTTTTGTGACTGGGTTGCCGAGCGAAGACTGGCTTCCAGCACTTTTCACATGAATGACAAGTATTAGGGAAGCAAATTAAATATAGCTTTTACTTTGAGTTTGAAAACATCATGAGTTTAGTTTTATCTGGATTCAAAATCAATTTTAAGTCCTGAAGAGTGTCCTGACAGAGATCCGGATGCTGTGTAGGAGTGGAGCAATAAATGACAGTATCATCCACATATAAATGCAAATTTGAATTGGTAACAATTTGACTGATAATGTTAATATAAAGTGTGAGTAAAAATGGCCCCAAGACTGAGCCTTGTGGCACATCCTTACTTTAAGCAGTAATGCCTTTAGCCTGCACACATTGTGATCTGTTTGATAAATAATTTACAAACCATCATACTAATTGTTCAGACAGTCCAATAGTGTGCAGTCTATCTTTCGAAATGGCATAGTCAACACTACAGAAGGTTACTGACAAGTAGATAAGAAGAGCAGCAGTGTTCCTTATTATCCTACTTTTAAAGCTGCTATGGTTATACTGGGTTTAAGAATATAAGTCCGATAAGATATTATTTGTTCATAAAAACTCTTTAAGTCGTCACTCACAAGACATTCCAGAGTCTTAGCCAAGACAGAAAGTTTTGAAATTGGCCTATAGTTGTTTAAAAGTCTAGGGTCTCCTCCTTTTACCAGGGGGAGAAAAAAGTCAGATTTCCAAACGAGGAATTTTGTTGCGGACCAGAAAAAAATATAATTAAAAGGTGATGCAATAAAATCAGCAGCTAACTCAAAAGACGCTAAAATTGTATGTACGTGGATTCGAGATAAGGGATTCAGTCTTATGTTCCTGTGTCAATGCTATCCCATACGTTTGGCCCTACATTAACTCGATTTAGGTTATTGTGTGATTGGATTTAGATATGTAACATTATTTCTTATCAGTTTGTAATGGAAAATTTTAATTTGGTTGTTCTTCAACAAAAACAGCAACAAGTGAATAAAGATCTACAGGCGATTCGCAACACACACACACACACACACACACACACACAAAACACATACGCACATTAGGTTGCACCTGTGGTTGCACACTGAGTCGAATCCTGAGGTTTACAGAGGGCAGACGGTCTGCTTCACATGAAATAGAATATTTCGATATGAAACATTGAATGCTTTACAGCAAGTGCCGGAAAGATGTCTTGCGCACATTGACGTTTTCCCTCCATTTTTGTTGCGGGATGACCTCTCAGGTGCTGCGTGCGTCTCAGTCCACATCAGGACTGGAGCAGCTCGCGATGATTGCGTTTGCATGTCCGATGAAATGCCACCCCTAAGTGGTCTCTCCTCTCTTCCTCGGATTCGCTTTTCCTCGGCAGGTCGCGCCGCCTTGCTTTGTGTTGCCTCTCATTGAATGGCTGGCATGACTTGTGCCCCCGGTACCGTGAAGATACGAAAGCAGGAGGAAAACCGCTCGTTTGGCGTTCACTCGTCCTCTCACCCTGTCAGTACATTCAAACGCCGTCATTAGACTGTCAATCTCTGAAAATATCTACAGATGAAACAATGGGAAGATCTCCTGGGTATCGACATACAGGGTAAGACCCTTTTTTCTGCGGGTTAATTTTACTGGAATGCAACAAATTGGAGCAGTAAGCGTGTGAATGTGATTTTAGCAAAGCGTATAGTTCACACTTCAGCACACTGTTTCTACTTTATACAGGGTGATTCAGCTGCTGATTTAAACATTTCTTACAGAAATTGTCATTTTCACATATCTCCTGTCTGCATCTGCACTGTGCATTCTGGAATAAATGAGCTGGTTTTGTTGTAACTCAGCACTGAAAAGCTTCTCCATCAGTGGCCTCGGTGGTAGAATGAAGCAGCTTCTTTGCCTTTGCACAAATCTTTGGTAACAGAAACAAAAAATAAATAGTTACATAAACAACAATCTTTAATTATTAATTGACCCCCAGAGCTTTTTTTTAAAGCTCAAGCATGAGTCAAAGGTTGCATAAATCTTATTAAAATTGATACTCAGGTATCCTGTCACTAAAGAATAATTAGATTATTATAAGTGTCCTAAGAACTACAATGCCACACAACTGTTGATGTGTTGTTTTCTGTCAAGTTTGAGCAGAAACAGCAATATTAGATTTGATTTATACATTGTATTTCATTGTTGGACCACTCTTTAATGTTTGAGGGACACCGTTATTGCTTTACTCATATGCAACAGTTGTATAGTAAGAGCCAGAACCCAACTTTAACACACCGCTCACATACGCTCTACATACAACATACAGATACACCCAGTGTGTATTCTACAACCTTTACACGCCCTCTCCTCATATTTGTAATCTACAGAAGTAGCCGTACATAGTGATGAATGTCCACAGCTCAATGATGGATTACACAGGCCCTCTCAGGCGGGACACTTCACTTTACCTACAATGCTAGATGTCCAGTGATACAAGTGCACTGCCGAGCAAGAGCAGAGTAATGTGTGCTGTTAATGTGTGTATGTCAAAAACTCTCACGGCTGCCATTTATTCTCATTTTCAGATGTTTCCTGTTTGTGAATTTATTTAATCGTTGACATGGGGAAGAGTTTGACTGAGTCACGGGGAGATTTGATCGCATTGTGAAAGAGAGAGAGATAGTCTCTGGAGGGCGAAGACATGGTCATCACTGATAGAAGCACCCCTGTACCTAAAAAGGAGCCCCAGAAGAAGACCAGAGGAAAGACCCGCCCTCATGGCCTGCCCTCTCCAGCCCTCTGCTGTGCCTGTGGCCTCTGCATCATGCTGGCCGGACTCAACATCACCCTGGTGGGGGCGTTCGCCTTCAGCACCCTTGTGCCTTCTGCCAACCCCCCTATTATCATTGGACCCATTCTGCTGCTGGTGGCCTTCTCCTTTTTTGGAGCATGTTGTGTTTGCAGTCGCCTCCCCCCACCCCACAACTCACGGAGGTCTAAGGTGGGAGGCCGGGGCACAGGGCTGATGGGAAGAGGTGGACTGGCAGGAGGGGCGGCATTTGAAATAGAAACCAGCGAGCACACGCTGCAGGACACCACAGCTGTGCAGCTCAGCCCCACCTCTTCCCCTGGATCCTCGCAGGCGTCTAGTCCAGAAAAAGAGGCTCCAGATGAGGCCCTACCAGGACCCTGCAAGCTGTTCACCATGGAGACCAACGGCCCTTCTTCTTCTGTTTCTGCTACTGCAGTTTACTCGACCTCGCTGGCAGCAGGAGGAGGGGAGGTGAGGCTTAACCTGCCACGCGAAGAAGTGGTCACTTAGCATTACACAGACTCTTCCAAGGCCCGAGCACTAACAGTGTGCATATTCTTCTGGATCGAGAGCTTGCTAAGTTTGATTGTGTCCTCTAGTTTTTGTAGTGCCATATATCCGGTTGTGAAAATGTCTGCTTTTATTTCCCTGTCGTGCAGCCAACTGGTTATTAGCATGCAATGTTTATGAAACATCCAAGTATTTGTGGATCATAGGTTTTGGAATTCAAATTCCTACCTCTCTCGTGCTGTTCTCCTCCGAGTCTTTGTTTTTAACTTAGGGCATTACGGACAGAACTCGTGTACAGAAACGTTTATATTTCACTGTCTCTCCAGTTTGTGGAAACCTCAACTGTCAGCAGTGATCTCAAGAGGGCTCGTCCGAAACTAATTATTGTTGATTTGTTCCTAGAACTCAAAGATGGATGTAAAAGGTCAACAGTGAAAACCTGAGTTGAGCGGTACAGTTATGTTTTTAGTGATATTTGGATTTTGTGTGACATGCACCGTGCTGAACTTGTTTTGGGGGCTTAAATATCACAGGTCACAGGGGTCCCAAAGCAAATTTTCTTCACCTGAGATTACCTTTTTGGCATTTACAGTTTTTTGCACCAGTGATTACACAAGTATTAGTAGACTAGACAGCTATTAGATTGAAAATGAACAGTCTTGTTCAAAGTGCAGTGTTACCATAAATGTTACTGTGTACAATGTTTGAGGGAGCGTTATTTCTGTATTTTAACACATTTTGTCATCACACAAACATTTAACACAGTTTCTTTATGAAGTTTCTTACCAAATTCTTGACAAGGTATTTTAAAAGTTTGTCCCAACTCAAACCACGTTTTTTTATTTTACTTTGGCACCAAACAAATCTGCCAGCTCATGATTTTGTTGCTTTGGCAGTTGCATGCAGGGGCGCTGCTTTCCAACAGGCAAGGCAGGAAACTGCTTGGGGCCCCAGGCCAGTAAGGGGCCCCCGAGGTCTGTCAAACTTCAGAACCCAGCAGTGGCTTAAAATGTGCACATTTTTCAATGACATTACGAAACCTCCCCAAGAGGGCCCCATATGACAGCAGTCAATCTCATTGCTCTGCTTAGCATTGCATGCATTAGCCCTGTGAAAACCTAAGTTAGTCAAAGTCACAGAAGAAAATTTAAATGAGTTATCCATCTGGGAGTTCAAAAAAGAGGATGACAATCATGACTTAAGTTTCTGACACACCAAAAGGGACAGAAAAGTGCCCCCTCCAAATGCTCATAATAGTTACTATTATTTATAACATACAGGTGATGAACGCTGGTTGGAGGGCCCCCTGTACGTTTTTGCTTTGGGCCCCAACAGACTCTAGAATTAGCACTGGTTGCATGTGGTGATGGCTGCTACAATGTGAAAAAAGACTGGATTTGCTACCACATCAAAACTAAAGAAACTTGATTGTAGTTTATTAAATGTACAAATGGTTGGAGTTGCTAATGCTTAAAAGCTGTTTCTGGTTGATAAAAAGCCATATTAACTGGATGTTGGAACTAGCTTCCTAGCCTAGCAGCTTGGTGCCATGAATATTTTGATGCTGTTTCTCCGTAGTGTCCTGATTCACTTTGGTCCGAGCTTCTAAATGAAGCCCATTGGAAACTGAGAATGGACAGAAGGGTTTCAGAGGTTCCCAATAAATGTCAGGCTAAGTTTTGGGGTCATGTTCATCTGGATATTATCAGAAATTCATACAAACTGTAATGCAGTGTAGGTCCAGATAGACTATAGGGACTTACTTCACTGCTTCACTATCATCAAGAATTTCAATTTACGTATGAGAGAGAATGTTTTACAAATTTTAACTTCTGAATTCTCGTTAAAGTGTTTTATGACAAACTTTATGTTCAGCCGAGATGAATCTACACTAGACATAGTATACACAATATGGAAAAGCCAAGAAGTGCGACAGAGTTTAGATATTCAGATTGCATAAAACTACCTGTTCCCCATCACTGTGATGTCACTCTGTCAGTCATGAACTTGACTGGTCAACGGACATAATCAAACCCAGATTTCCTTTGGAAGGAAAAATGCCTTAGACTGAGATATCAGGATCAAACTAATGAGGGCTATAATTAAAGTGCACAACTGCATTTTTCTTCAGAAAGCATTTGTTTGGCTCTGGATTTCTACTCCATTTGTCAGGAAAACATAACCAAGTTTCTGTTTTTTTTTAATGTAACAAATGCATGCAGATGGTTTAAATGTTCAATCTCAGAAACTATTATGGACTTGCGTTGAAGGTGAACACCTGCATACACCGCCCAGTGACCAGATCATTATATAGTACATACTTGTGTTATGTGTGACTCAGCTCCTCAAAGGGACCAGATTCCATGTTGAAGCTCTCTCATGCCAAAGAGAGAGAAAGCTGAGTTATTTTATTTGCATGTTCAGAATCATGGAAATGCAAAACATCCTGTTGTGAAGTGTAGTTGATATCTGTGTATTTTGATTTGGTGTAGCACTTATTCAAAAGAAATCTAGAAAATATAACGATCAAATATTTTTGTGAAGATTATAATTTGTTTATTTTGAAAGTAACCAAAATGTGAATCCTTCAGAAGACATGAATAAAAAAAAATGCTCCTTCACTAGAACATGATGTTGCTCATTATTTATGTGTGCCATGACACAATGTTCTTGTTACATTTCATTTTGTGTCATCATGAAGTTAGATGAATCCAAATGTCCCATTAGATAGATTGGTTATATAAGAACATTTGTATAGTTCAGTGTGATCTTGCAGGATTTCAGTCGTTTATAGGGTCCCGTAAGTCTTATTTTTTTCAAAGGGGGAGACTAACATACTCTTTTATAGCAGTTTGCTGGGGAAACAACAAAACATAAATGTTTGTGAAAGCAGTGTTTACCTTTATTGAACATTTCCACACTAAACAATCAAGAACTCCTCCAGTGTCGTATCCATGAATGCAACCAATGCTTATTTTCATTATGGATTATAATGCTGATGTAAAAAGCTGCACCACATCTTCACATGTGAGAGCCTGGAATGAGAAATCTTTTGCCTTCTTACTTGAAAATTATTTTTATTATTATTATTTTCCAAAAATGCCCTTTTCTCTTTAAAATCTTATGAAATAATGGTTTATTGTTTCAGATTTAGTCATTTTTTCTTTGTGGGGAATTCTCTGCCATCCTTTAACACATCAGGATGGCCTTGAGAAAAGAACACAATTCAAGCCCCTCTTTAAGTGTTTGTGTGTGATTAAACTTAGTGCCACTAGAGGGTGCTGCAGTCCTATCAGTGTCAGTGGGGTTATATAAAATATGGCATGTCAAATCAATCCAATAGATGTCAGTAGATCATACAAAACCTCTTCTGGCTGTTAAAGAAAAAAAGTGCAGCTAAATGCATTTAATGATAACTAGTGACATTTTAAACTAAATATTAATGAATGGTGTGCAGAATAATTTCTTATTTTATAAAGCACTGTCTTGAAAAGTTTGTAAGACAAACTGAAAGAATCTTTTCTTCTTTCTTATCACAAAACGTGAGTGGGTTGTGTTTTTTAATCTCGGTAGATAGCACTAATTGCATCAATGTCATGACAGTATCATTTGGAGTATCTACACTGCTGATAAAGCTCTTCTTTTCTCATGTCATGATTAACACACATATCAGGGATGTCCTATTTTCTGAGGCTGCTCAAAAATGACAAATTTGTACTCAGATTGTAGATGCTCCGAAAAATAATGATGTGCATAATTCCCAATGGTGACATGTTAAACAGAGTTTCAGTTTCAGTCTCGGTTGCTGAACAGAAAATAGAAGGCTGCAGTAATCTAGAGGCCCTGATGCATTTTTACATAATTTTACAGTAACGATGAGGTTGAAAAAAAGCTGTGAGGAAGAGTTTGAAGCAGCAGATGGTGAGTTGAGACTGGTCACGGTTTGTTCCAGGCACAGAACTCAGCCAACACACTGAGGCTGTCATCTATCTGGAGCACATAATGGGATTTTCTGTGATTTAGCCTGCACCAGAAGAGTAACTATTTTATGAAAAACATGAAAAAAGCAAACAAACAACTGCAATCCACCTTTCAACTGTGTCCAAGTTTATGCTGCACCAGACAGGATATTTCCTGTCGAATATGCCGACTTCCTGCATCTTCTGCCTGAAGAGGCTCATAAAACATATGAAATGTTCAGACAGCTAGAGGTTGTAGTTTTTATAGCATGTGTATGTGGTCGGGTTTATGGTTTTGGTGAGCAAAGGTCAGAAAGAGGGGTCATGGTTTTACCACTGCACAAGAAAGTGTCTGAATGGACGTCGACCTTTGCCCTTATGAACATCTGTGTCTTATTGCCACTGCATTTAAAAGAATTTATTTTTAAAAGCATCCTTAGTGGAAAGACTTTGAATTTGTGTCAAATGATTGGTAATGATAACTGTTTTCCGTAGAAACACATTGACCTGGATCTTTCTTTTACCACAGCAGTTATCGGATGAACTCTGTAACTGCAAAATGCTGACTTTCGTTGTCAAGCAAACATTAAAACAGCGCCTGATGTTTAATGACTTATGAGTCACTACATGTAGCAGGTCAGAGACATGCTGTAAACAAGCACTAGTAGATATTGACACTACTGTTTGTCCTCCTTCACAACATTTTTTTTTGACTCCATATTGATGAATTTCGGGGGCACTTTCAGCACCAGTAGTCTTGTTTCAGCATCACTGTGTCACAAAACCACTGACAGGGCAAACATTATCAGTGTAAAGTCTCTCTTTGTTGACATCGTGGAGCAAATTGGGTTCTTGTTCGAACTGATATGAAGCTGCAGAAATGACTGAGACAGATTGTCCCTGATGCCAAGATACAGTTGGAGACAACCGGGAAGATTTTAAATACGCAATGTTTCTCAATATCCACAGCTAACCTTAGATAACTTCTTGTTTTTCATGACAAGATGCTGCAAACTGACAAAAACCTGCTGCAACCACACAACTAAACTCACACCTTCAATCTCAAACATCCCATCCACTCTAAACCGGAGCATGGCGGATCCCGACACTGTTCATGTGCGCCTGTGTTGCATGGATGTGCTTGCGTGTGTGTGTGTGTGTGTGTGTAAAAACACTCTCAGCTGAATGAGTCGGCAGAGGAGAGGAGGGGGATGGAGGGTGTAATCAAGCTGAAAAGATTAGGGGAAGACGAGTTGCTGAGGATCTATGAGCGCAGACACTGGTTATATAACCCTAACCCAGTTCATTCCGCTTTCAGAGAGACTGGGGAGGTTGGGCGAAAAAGGATTTGACATAACTGGGGTGAATCCTTGTTTTAAGACTGAGATGAATGTGGCCATCAGTTGTCTGTATGCAGTCAGATCAAATGACAGTGGGTGTCAAATTCATATTCAAAAAAACTGTTCCTTAAAGTCAATTAAGAGGTCACAAAATACATTTTTCTAAATAAATGCATGGACTTGTTATATACAAGAAAAACAAACAAAATATTTGTTGTTATTGACTTATTGTCCACCAAAAAAACATACCTTATAGGCCTCCAGTGAAAATGTGCAGTTGACATTTTTACTGTGCTGTAGATTGGTGCAGATTACCTTGCAATAGGGTTTGATCAGAAAACCTATCAGACAAAGATGGCTTCATTATAGGGATTTCTTTTGGTCCTCCATCCTCCGGCCTTGTGACTGGACTAATTCTCTGTCGGTCTCTGTGACAGGAGTGGTGTTAAAATGACATGGAGAGGAAAGCTCCCCATTGGATAAGGGGGTAAAGATACAGCAGAATTTGATCAAGGGTCCTAATAGTACTGCTGCACCACTCTGCATACCAATGACGGCTGACAATGTGTCCCTTGCTGTTCTTAACTCCTCCATTCACCCTCAGTAAATGGCAGTTTATTCAAGTGGCCAGGCTGTTGCATAACCGTGCCTTTCACAAGTCTATATGAGCCCTGGGAGTAGGAAACATGCACAGTAGTGTATACAAAAAGTTCTGGATCCCATGTGTAACAAACAACAGTGTGACTAGCAGGACAGACCTTGATGTGAGTAGCATTAATGTAGGGTCGATCAGTCAATCTCTCCCGACAGCTAGCCATTAACAAAGCCAATCAATGCTGTTTCACTAATGCCCTCCTACCATACACACTGTGTGAAGAGTTAGTCTCTTGTCACCTCACCTCAAATCAGTGTCTCTGACCTGTTGTGTTTAACTTAGTAAATCCATACTCAGACCAAAAATGGGATACTTCTGTGCCAATATGTGAGAGCGAATTCTTGTCAATCAATCAACTCTTAAGACACAATAATATTTAGTGTTGAGTAGGCTGTGTAGTAGACTTGACTGAATGTGGGTTGCACTTGTTTCTAGAGCATGCATTCTGAGAACTCTTTCAGGTCAATCGTGAGCACAAAGCAGTATTTCATGGATTTCGTTTGAAGAGAGGGCTGCATGCTATGGTTACATGACAAAAAAAGGAGCTAACTGAATATTGTATCGGGATGTCCCTGCAGTTACACAGGGTTGGTAAACAACATGTGGTACCACTTTAATCCAGCAGAGGCCCCCGGTTTTTCAAAGAAACCCAGGGACAATGAATGAAAAACACTTCCAGCACAGCAGACTGCTTCAGACCGGTTTCTGTGCTCCACATTTAAGGTTGTGATACTCAGAAATTGAACTGATATGTCAGCTGTTTCTGTGCAATTATCTCACTGCACCATAGTTTTTTTTCCGCTGATCATTTATGAACCTGCAAGTGAATCACCTCTTATTGTTTTATGTGCAGCACTTAAACTTTCATGAAGGCAACTCCCATGATATGTTTTTGCAGTCGTCTGTCATTATAGTGCAGTGTGAATAGCTGCTTATTTGTCATTTGTCGCAGCATGGTTTGACGTCTCTTTTTGTGGCTTTTTAATACTTTGAAAACAGCCTGCCAGGGTAGTTTGATTGTTTAGTACTTACCTGTTCCCTGTCGGGTTCACCACTTAAACATATACTGCATGGAGAACAGATGATATAATCAGTAAGTGGAGACAGCTGAGGAATGACCCTTGATTAAATTAAAGGCCTCATCTTAGAGCCATGTGTTACATATCAGGTATTCAATGAGTCTCCTTAAATAATTAATGACAGGCTGACCTTTCGGAGCACATGACGGAATACCCACCACTCAGCTCCCCTCAACTGGCCACTAAAGTGACCAGAAGTCTTTTTCCTGCTGGGAGAAAAGATCTGATTTAGTAATTGGTGGTAGACACAGGGCACCTGTGGAAGAGAGGAAGCCCTTCTTGCTGTGCATCAAGCCAGTTTTACAGCTGAGAATTGCTTTGCCATGGCAGCGACCATCCACACACACTGCACTGCGGGGGTGGCCGGTCTGTGTCAGCACTCATTACCATCCAATGCCTTGGTAGATGTCTCTTCCAGGAGTCCTTTAGAAAGAAATAAAAGAGGGATGCTTTACACTTTAATGACTTTCCCACAGTGGCTCTCCAAAACAACAGCACCCCTTAAATTGCTGCGGTCTGGCTGAGGCTGCATGGAGAGAGTCCCCACTGCTCAACAGAGGAAGGGAAATACTGAGTCCACTGTCTGTCCAC